TAAAACCTACATTTTCTACTACCATTAGGGTCAATATTTGATTATTTTACAGTAACTCTCACAACTATATAAAATGTGTTTTTGTTCAGTTAGTGTACACAATATTTATAGTAGCATATTATTTTTACGCACTAGTTATTATCACGTAATGTTTTTTCATCCACTGAGATAACAATTATTAATTTAGTTTATCCACCCCGGGACAGGGTTATCGTTTTGGTGAATTTCTTTTCAGGAGACAGTTATCATTTTGACACATTATTCCTATATGATACAATTTTCATTTTAGTAAATTTCCCCATCGAGATACAATCATTATTTTTAAAAACTCCAACTCAGGATACAGTTATCATTTTAGTAAAATCCTCTCTAGGCCACAGTTATCATATTTCAGTAAACTGTTCCTACAGAATACATTTATTATGTTAACAAAATTGTCTGACGAGATAGTAAGTATTGTATTATCTACTTTTACTCAAGTTTTAGCAAGTTCCTTCTCCAGAGTAAAACAATAAAGAAATATCACATACTGTAATACCAAAGATCACGTGCTGTTGCAGATTAGAAGTAATTGTCAACATTAAAAAAAAAGTTCCGCTAGGTTGACGTATTAGTATTAATTGAATTATCAAGTAAAAATAAAATGTTATTTTTAAAATAATAATTAAAAAGTCGAAATGGTAAAATATTGTATGTTACTGAAATGTAAAAATAACGTCAAACAGCTACAAAATTCACACCATATTTTAGACGTAGAAATACCAATGGGAGACTGGGTTTTTAAATTGGTTACAGAATCACAAATAAAATATGAGATTTAAAAAAATTTAACAAAAATACCATTAACATTGCAATTAATCCTTCTATTTAATATATATAATTATAATAATATATATTATATATATAAGATATTATAACTTTGATAAAGAAGGGACGTAAGGGAAGTTTCTGCTTACCCTAGTTTTATATTTTGTCATAAAACCATAATCTTCTTGGAGAGAAATATACCTTGTGCTCGTGTTCTCAGCTCTAGCTTACGTAAATCTACCTTTGTGCAGTAATTACTAGTTTTATCTATTATATGTCACAGAAAACTAAGCCTGCACGTCTCTGTAGCTGTAGACAACAATTTGGCGTCCCCACAATTTTCCTTTGTTTACATCCGGGTTATTAGGCCAGCTGTTTCGTGTCTAGCATAGATTCTGTTCGAGTTCCGTTCTCCAAAAATGAGCAGTCTTGCGACCAGTAGTTTCTCATTGGCTTCTCGCATACCACAAGGGGTGTTTGTACTAATTTTAGAAAGTAGAGGGCGCCCACGAGCCGAATGTTCTTTGATGCCTAATGGGCTAGAAAGGAAAGTAGATGAATATATTTAATTTGTTTCTTATACGATATTTTATAAATATATTCCACGTGCACTTTGATATTATTTCAAGAAGAAACTGAGTGAAGTATGATAATCATAACTTATTATGTACAGCCAGATACGTAGGGTTGTTGTTGTTTTTATAAGTGTGACTCACCAAAAAGGATGGAACTACAGATCTTATGCTTCATTTTGTTCGTTAGTTTATCTGATGCATTTATAATTATGCATACATACAGTTAATAGTAAATTGATAAAAAAAAGATTGATAAGAATAACGGGTGGCATATTATGGTGGGGGGGGGGGCATACTACATGCTTGATTTGTCGTCTTAAGATAGGAGAAGACAAACTGATGTTCTGTCGAAACATATAATATGTCCTCCCAAAATAAACCACTCCGTTATGCTTATAAATATAGAGGGGAGGGGTTCCTGGTGCCAAAGCACCAGAGCCCAAGAAAGGAAGAAAGGAAGTGGGGGAAAAGGAAAGAAAGAAAGAGAGAGGGGTAGTCAGAAAGTTTAGTAATGGTAGAAGGGATTGAAGATGAGATTAGTGATGATAGTGGTGGGATAAGGGTGAGGGTAATGTGGGGTGGGAAAGGGGCATAGGTAAAAACAATAGACTTAGATTTGGAAAAGCAAACTTTGAAAGAGAGAGAAACATTGTGCTAAAACGTTGGCTGATAGGAGGGGAAGGGGGAGGGACTGGGATGGCCCAGTATTTCTCTGCTTATAAATAATTGTTTGTCTGTAATTAAGCACAAATCTACACAATGGGCTATCTATGCTCTGCCCACCACGGGTATCGAAACCCGGATTCTAGCGTTGTGAGTCAGCAGACATACCGCTGTGCCACTGGGGGGGAACATTATGTTGATATAATAATAAACTGGCCCCCCCAGTGGCACAGCGGTATGTCTGCGGACTCACAACGCTAGAATCCGGGTTTCGATACCCGTGGTGGGCAGAGCACAGATAGCCCATTGTGTAGATTTGTGCTTAGTTACAAACAAACAAAATAATAAACTGGTTTCCCTACTCAAGTATACATACAATCACTTTGTAAGTCTATCTCAAGGGTATAGAAGCAGTTAAGTCGCTCCATCTTATTTACCACGCTAGAAGTTTTAACAATAAAGGGCAATGTGTGACGTAGTGGTTAGCGTGCCGGGCAACGTGTCCAAAGTTCATGGTTTGAGCTAGCAATATGCCTCTGAAGATACTCTGTAACTCCAGCATTAAAAACTGACCGTCAATCCGAATATTCGGTTAAGAGTAGTCGAGTATGGTCAACGGTTGCCTTTCATCTGGTCAGAAGTTCTAAATTGGGGACGGTTACTCCTGGACTTTGGAAATACGAAATCCCTTTAGAAATATACATTAAAACGAACGTTTTTATGGTTAGTTGACGTGCTGTAGCATAATTAAAGTATGATTTTTCAAAATATGTGTCCACTAGATTTTTACTAATTTTTTTTTATTATATTGACACTAAAAGTCACTTCTAACACAACAAACGCGATAAAAAGTGTTGTTTTAGAACCTTAGAAATATTTTTTACAGCAACTTAACGTTAGCTTTGCATTGCCGTTGTGTTTTAAATTTGATTGAAATACAGTACAACATTGTCATCATGAGACTTTCTCTGTAATAATGAATCATATGTCATATTCCGTCAATTCAAAAATATACATTTAAACAATATTTTCTTACTGTAAATTTTATCAATTTCTTTCATCAAGATCGTGAAAGTTTGACATCACAAGATACTAAAACAGTGTTCACAGTTAACTATGTACATTAAGTAAACTATAACTTAATAAATCGCTGGACTTTGTTTCTGAATTAACGTGTATAGTGTTGAAGAAACATTTATTTTATATTATGTGATATTTTTTATAGACATGTAAAAGTGCAATAACAGATTTGCAAGTAGATTAGCTCTAATCTTTTTGAATCACTGACTAAGGCAGGGTATTTTTTTACAGATAAACCCAACACTAATTAACTATTGAAAAAACAAAACAGACTTTTGTACATCGTATTATGTAATTATCATAAACTATCACCATTAATCACCATCATTGTTGAGTAGGATTTGGTGTTTCGAATTTGACCGTCACGATGAAAGGGCGAGCATGTTTGGTGGGACGGGGATTCGAACTCTTGGCCTTCAGATTACGAGTCAAGCGCATTAACCACCTTGCTAGGTGTAGCAAAGCAGGAATGTGTGGAATGGTAAAGTAATATATTTTGAGTTAAGGAAAAAAAAAAGGTTTCAACGCGCTTATCTGTGAAAAGATCCGGCTTATTTGATCTGTGTTATTAAACAGCCTTTAGTTTGTTTTATGAATTTCGCGCAAAGTTACACGAGGGCTATCTGCGCTAGTCGTTCCTAGTTAGGAACTAGAGGGAGCCTGCTGAGACTACTGTTTTACCAACTGACCGATCATTATAACGCTCCCACGGCTGAAAAGGCGAGCACGTTTGGTGGAACGGGGATGCAAACCCGCGGCCCTCAGATTGGGAGTCAAACGCTCTAACCACCTGGCCACGCCAGGCCTTGTTCAGTAGTACTTATACTGTTTTTTTTTTTAAGCACATTAAACAAGGTAAGTTTGTAAAAGTTGGCCATATACACACACTGTATATCTTTTTAATTTGTATCCAATACCATATAAATCAATCAATAGAAGAAATAATAAAATTATCCGAAACAGTTATTATTAATGAGTCCCTTAAAAACAACATGTATCCCCACGAAATAATTTCAAGAAATGTCTGATGACTCACAGTCATAAAAAAAAACTAACCAACTTCATCATGCAAATAACAACAAACGTAAACATTGGGATTTTCTAGAACTGTTGACTGCATATAAACATAACAAGAATTCAGGAAATACGTTCGTCTGGTGTTTTAAAATAACTATGCACTTTTCACGTGTAAAATTTTTGGTAAAGTAGTTTGTTATTTTTACTTTCCTCTAAAAATAATGTAATAAAAAGTAAACCTAAAAATTCCTCGTCTACTTTCTCTTTCACACTCAAGGCGGTTCTATAAGTAGTAATACAGAAAATCGAAAAAAAAACACGTGGCTTTGAAATGTAGCGATTAATAAAAAAATAATGATTCTATACTGCTGAAAATAGTATTTATAAGTCTATAATTTTGAAACAGAAAGGACGAAACATTCGAGTATTTATAGATTACTAGCAGAAACGCTGCCCTATGGGCGGCTATTTGTGCTAGTAATTAGTAATCATAGTATTCATACGTCATTGTAAAAAAATGTAAAAAGTGAACATTTTCTTTAAAAGCATTTTTTCTAGGAAGTACTGCACGGGAAAGTGTTCGGATAGTGCTCCTTAGTCATACGCAACTCATGGTTCAATGTACAGAGCTCAAACTTTTCATAAATTTTACCGATATAAACTGTAATGTTTTTTTTATATTAAAAGTATTACTCTTTATTGAATGCCCCCCAGTGGCACAGTGGTATGTCTGCGGACTTACAACGCTAGAAACCGGATTTCGATACCCGTGGTGGGCAGAGCACAGATAGCCCATTGTGTAGCTTTGTGCTTAACTTCAAATAAACTAAAAACTTTATTGAAAAATTAATAGTTTTTAAGAACTCCAGTGTAAGCAATGCTTAACTTGAAAAAGTCTAATTAAACGTGTTACTCATCGTTGCTACCTCCAAGTTGATTCCAGATTAGTTATTAAATCCACATCACGCATACAGGATTTTTTCCGTGTTAAAGACCTTCTCTCAATTACTCTTTGTTCTTGGCTTGTATATCTTTACAAGTGTGGAGACTGTAAGGCTTCATATATATTGGCAAAACCAAACGCCACCTACTAGTTAGAGCCAATGAACATATGGGAATTTCCATGAAAACACAAAAAAGTTGAGTAACCCTTGTGTTTCCTCTATATGCCAACATAGTGAAGAAACAAGACATCAACCTATACTATCAAATTTCGATATCCTTTGCAAAACCAACACTGATCTGGAATTACTGATTACAGAAACCCTCCACATCAAACAACATTCACCAACACTAAACAACATGCAATCTTCGTATCAACTGCACATTTTCTAATATGTACAGTATTTTGTTTATTACTCATTTTATTTTTATGTTGTTATAGTTTGGATTAAATTACTGTTATTATAGCAATGTATTTCAGTTACTTACTTAGGAATGATGTAATTCTTATATTTTGCTTTAGATACTGAAGATGGAATCTGTTGAATTCCGAAACGTTTATGTGTGTCCCCTTTTGTTATAAATAAACAATATTTATCTTAAGTTTCGTTATCCTTTTTATTGCGAAACTTCGTTTTCCTCCGAACACATTAATTAATAATATCTAGTTTTTTAGTCCTAAGTTTAAAAATTACACCAATAAAGATATAACCAAACCCTCACGTACAGTCCTAGTGAAAGTCGTGTTCTCGTTGTGAGAAGAGTACTTTTATTTAAAATTATGTTTATTATAAAGAAATGGTTATTGCGCATACCATAGCTGTTGTTCTAATTGTCTGAATCTTGAATACTCAAAGAGTGAAAATTTTTATGATTTTTTTTAAATAGATAGCGCTACATGTCATAAGCCTCAATCACCACTTCTAGCATTGAGATCTTGTTGTATTTCAGCACAACAGATGGCATCTTTGTATTTATTATTTCGGTCACGTACATAGACGGCCATGCCATTACT